TTGGCGAGTAGCGACTGGGACCTTAAAAGCTAGGAAGCTGCCATCTAGATGCAACAACGGGTCTCTCCTTGTCAAGTAGAAAGAAGAAAACCAAAATTAATGGAAACAATCAGTCCTAATGACTGGTACACCATCCGATCTGCAACCTATACAACTATGAGACCAGAAGAACTAGATGGTGCCCAGCTACCACTGCCATCCACTTGGAAGGGATGTAGGAGATCCTGCATGAAGAGGGAGAACAATGTGGTACAAAACTCAAAATCATTTGGAGGCAAAAAAAAAAAAAAAAAAGAAGGTGGGGACCAGGTTTGCTGGTCCAATAGAGCCTGGTGTAACCACAGAGACTATGGCCCCTAGCTGCCCTTCAGGTCTGGAATTGAACCCACACCTGTGGTTTCCAGCCAAACAAAGTACAGGCATGTGAGTTAAACATTTACCTCAAGTAGACACACGCCCTGGAGAGAACAATCATGGGAGAAGGAAGGGCTGCTTATGCACAGGGAGATAGCTCAGGGTGCAGAAGAGTATGAAGGGATGGACACTGGGAGAAGGTAACTATGGGGAGGAAGTGGGAGGGGAGCTGCTGCATTGTAAATTTTGGTCAATGACATGAGACAAAGTATATGTGAACTGCTGTATGAAAAGTGAATTTACTCTGTAAATCTTCACCCAAATCCTAATAAAAAAAAAAAAAAAAAAGAAAGAAAAGAAAACCCAATGGAGCAGTTCTACCATGCCACATATGGTTGCTATGAGTCAAAATGGACTCAACAGCACTTAATAACAACATAATGTAAGAAAGAAATGGACAAAGAAATGAAAATTGGGAGATAGCTAGTAGGCTTGTGCTCCTTACTTGTAGTTTCATGAAGTGCAAGGAAAGAGAGAAAGCCAGGAATCTAGTTTTGTATACCTAAGTAAGATGACTCACTTTCAATTGTAATGGGTGCCCTGGCTTAAACTAAGTTCTTTGTGTGTATGTCTGAAGAGAGGGAGAAAAATATTTTTTGACTCTATTTGAGCTTAGACAGCCCTGTGCTTGAGTTATAGCCTGTTCTTCTTTCAGGAACAGTTGTTTACAGGGAAGCCTTAGCTGACACTCAGAGACAAAAGGCAGGCTCTTCACTTTGTGGTAGGAAAACGATGAAAAGGAGCAGGCTTAGGGTAAGCTAAATGAACTCACTCTGCACTGTTGGTGCCCTGCTCCTGGAACAGATGATGGACTAGATGTTCTGATGTAACTCCACTGCTTTAAGGCAAGTCAATGCCCCAATAGACAGAAAAGTTTTCCCATTGAAGGAAACCTTTCATTCCCACTATTAGTCATCATTTGTTGTTGTTGTTGTTTTGTGCCATCGAGTTGGACCCAACTCATAGCAAGCCCTCCTTGGGTTTCTGAGGCAGTATCATTACAGAATTAGATTGCCCAACCTTCCTTCCAAGGAGTGGCTGGTGGGTTTGAACCACCAGCCTCCTGGTTAGCAGTCAAGTGCCTTAGGCACTACACTACCAGAGCTCCCAAAGGTCAATCTGAGATAGAAAACAGAGGCTCTAAGAAGAAGAGAATAATGTATTTTTTTCTATTCTGTGAGTGTAAAAAGGGTTGTAAGTGGTGCCATCCAACCTCCTTCAACATCACAAAACAGGAGGAGGAGCAAGAGCAACAGTTGAAGGCCGATTCCTGTGAAGTGCAGTTCAGACATGCTGCCACCCTCCAATCTTCTTGCCAATTCTGACAGCAACTGTTCCTCCCACAGCAGTCTCTACTTCTCTGGTGGGTTCAATAATTATTTGCAATGGCCACAGAGCACTCACAGATAATAATCACAATTACAGGATTTATTAGAGAAGTAATGAGTTACAATTCAGATTCAGGAATGCTTAGGATACAATTCTTCCATCAGGACTGCCTCCCCTCAGCCACGCCTGTAGCCATGCTTTTCTCCTCAGCCTGGCCTCTGCTCTGTTCAGGCAAGTGTCACAAAATTCTTTATGTGGGGCAGATAAGTGCCCAGAGAGGCACCTTACTCCACCAGGCTGCCCAAAGACACTCAGCTTTCTTGCTCCGTGGACCAGGAAGGCTACTGCTCTGTCTCATGCCAGTCTCTTGGTTCTGCTGCCTCTGCTGCCATTGTCTCTGCCACTGTCTCTAGCCACCCCAGCAAAGTGTTACAGCTCTCCCTCTGCTGAATCAAGGGATCTTGGGACCAAATGATATGCTCCACTTCTGGCTCTTCTTTCTTGATTGTAGTGAGATCCCTCCTCTGCACTTTCAAGTGGCTCACTTTAAGCCTAGCAGATGGCAAAACTGACCAATCCCCACATAAGGATTCCACACATCTTATTTGCGTGGTCCCTCTCCCACAAGGGTGCCATGCAACTTATTTACATTACTTTCAAGCTATAAAATCACTTCGGTGGACCATAAGAACCTCACATTTGTGTAGTCCCAAACAGTCATCTGGTGGGAGTCACAAAGACCATGTCTCGAAAGGCCATATTAAGTAATTCACCGTACCACAGTAGGCAAAAAGAAATGAGGTTGGAGGCAGGAGGAAAAATAGGCAAAATGGTTGTCTACTATGGGACCTGGATGTGAGCTGGGCTTGAACGCTCTTAGACTAGCCACATATAGTAGGAGTTCTAAGTTTTTCCTGGACCTTTCCTGGTCATAGCTGTACATGGGGCATCAAGAAAATGGCCTGCTTCACATTCAGGGTGGAATAGCCTTGAAGAGGCTGCAGTGATGGGGATGCAAATAGGCTGCCCAAACGGTAGCCATCTGCAGTAGACCAGCAGCAGCTAACACTCTGCAGAGGAGGCCAGCAGTGGGCCTGTTTCCCAACATAAGAGAGAGAAAGAAAGAGAGAGAGACAAAGAGATAGGGGGGAGAGGAGAGAGAGAGAGAGAGAGAAAGTGTGTGTGTGTCCTGAGGACACTGAAACAGTGGGGAACTCTGATGTGGAAGGTTATTTTGTGGGCAGTGGGGGCTTCAAAGTCCTTACAATTTGGGAATGAAGGAAAACACAATTTCATATCACTGAGCTCTAGTAGTTAAAGCATTGCTCTCACAACACAAAGTTTGGCAGTTTGAACCCACCAGCTGCTCCGTGGGAGAAAGATGACACAGTCTGCTTCCATAAAGATTTACAGTCTTGGAAACTCTATGGGGCAGTTCTATGCTGTCCTATAGAATCAACTTAATGGCAGTGGGTTTGGGGGCATGACCTTGGCCAACTTTGCTTCAATGTTCTCCTTTACAAATGGGGATACAAATAGTTCCTACTTCACTGGGTTCATGAAAGGATTGTTGTTGTGCCGTCGAGTCAGACCCTACTCTTAGAGACCCCTCCTTGGGTTTCTGAGGCAGTATCACTATGGAAATAGATTGCCCAACCTTCTTTCTCTCGAGGAGTGGCTGGTATATTTGAACCACCAGCCTTCTGGTTAGCAGTCAAATGCCTTAGGCACTATGCTACCACTATGCTATGCTACCAGAGCTCCTCATGAAAGGGTTAGGTGAGATAAATATAGTAGAGGGCTTAGAACCCTGCCTGGCTATTGTTTGTTATTAGCTGTTATTATTGCTCACTAGATCTCAATGAACTGTCTATAAAAGAACCAGCCTCAAGGAGGTTGAAGCCCTTGAAGGAGAGGATTTGCCATGTCAGGCAGACTGTGAATGCTCCCAGACAGGAGCTGGAGGAAGCATGGTAGGGCCATGGGATATGAGAGGGAAGAAGGGCCTTCAGAGAAGCTGTAGGAAGGGAGGCAGCAGAACCATGCAGGGGGACCCTGGAATGCAGGCAGATCTGTGTAGGGAAACTGAGGCAGCAGCAGGTGAGTCAAGATGCAGGGTGTGGGAGGACTCCTGGGGTTGGAATGCCACAGGAAGGGTGAAATTACACAGGAAATCCACACTGGGGAAGACATTAAGGCACCATCAGCATCTGAGGAAAATCCATGGGGAAACAGAAGACAACTGGCCAGGGACAGAGGCTTGGTTAGTCTGAAATTGCCAGTCTGGAGCAAATGCCTGGTGGAAGTGGCAGGACCCAGGGCACACCAGGACTCTGACTTGGACGATGCTTCCAGTTGGTGCAGATACACCCACCTCTGGTGGCCACACCCAGCTCTACCTGTTCCTGCTGTTGTAGTTCAAAGTGGCTGCCTGTCATGGGAGGCTGGCATCTCCCTGGTCCTGCCCTTCCCCTCCTCAGCCCTGGGCAGGGAGCTCCTGAGGGTGCAGTGGGTAGGCTTTCATCCCTTCTTGCCTACTGGTACCAGGGGCACCGCTCAGTTCCACCTGACTAGCAGTTCCTACCCAGACGTGAGAATGTAGCTTACTGAGAGCATTCAGTAACAGTGCTCTTGGGGTCATAGGCTCCAGCAGGGGTGCAGGATCTGGTGATTCTGTTCACGAACATGACTTCAACAGGCCACTTTTGCTTTAGAGTTTCCTGGGGTCGAGGCTGTGAACTGCTTCATCACCGAGCTTTTCCTTGCCTAACCTCTGTTTCCTTCCTCTTGAAGTTTCACAGATGCTCTCCTAGAGACCTTAGCACCTGCAACATCATTTCAGTGGCTGCTTTCTGGAGACCTGAACCAGTATACACCACTTCTGAGTCTCTGTTTCCCTGGGAAGCCTGGATCTCCAAGAAACATCACTGATAGGCCTGGACCCCATGGACTCCACAGACTAAGTGAGAGACAGATACAGGGTGCCTTGGCCAGTACCCTCACTAATGGGCTGTTCCTCACCTAGCCAGATTTGCTTCTGGCTGGACGTGAGGATGTCCTGTGACAGTAAGATGGGAAGATGTGGAGGCAGGAGGCTCCTGTGTGCCTCAGGGACAGTGCTGGGCACTTGGATGTGGGAGAGAAGTCCATCTGGCCATGAGGAGGTGGCCCAGAGAAGGCATGTCAGGCTATGGAGGAGGAGAACATGGCAGAAGACTTGTTGAGGCAGGGCTACTTCCTCAGATGGAGACCATTCTTCAGTACTCAAAGGTAATTGTCTTGATCCTCAGGTATTCATGGAGGGCTTCCTCTCCTGCAAGACAGCACACACCATTGGGACCACACTGTGACAGCACTCCCACTACATAACACGCACTATTCTGGTGCTGTACACAGATCACCTCACTGGATCCATGTCCTCCCTCATCCCCACTTGCAGATGAGAACCAGAAGCCCAGGGAGGTTTCACTGAGGTCATCACTGATGACAAGTGGTAGAGCCAGGATTCCAACCAGGCAACCACCTCCAGATATTTCTCCAGCCCCAACCAACTCCTTCCAGATAGGGGATGCCCATCAACCAGAGGGCAATCAGAGCACAATCTTCTCTTCCTTTCAGCCTCTGGCCTCTGCTGCCTGTCAGCAAATTCTAGATCAAGCTATGACTGTGAAAAGGTACCCTCACAAGCCATCTGAGGCCCCAGAACTCAGCCAGGCTATGTGCCTGGTTTCTCAGGCCCTACAACAAGCATGTGGGCAGATTTCTGGAGACTGTGGGCTGCCTGACAACTACCCCCAGCCTTGATAGCTATACTCAGCCCTGATTTCTCTCCCTTACCTCCATAGCTCTGACACCTATGCCCCAGCCCTGGTACATCATGTCCAACCTTGACACCTACCTCCCAGCCCTAAAACTTTCCCTGTACTACTGGAACCTCTTCCCTAGCCTTGGCACCTGCCCTCTGGCCTTAGCATCTACATCCAAGCCCTGGCATATCACCCCAAGCCATAGAACCTCCCTAACACTTCACTTCTCCAGCCTTGGCACTTCATCCTAGCCCTAGGAACCCCCCATCCCAGTCCTTACACCTGCTCCCTATCCTGGACATCTCCTCCATCCCTGGAAACTCCCCCCACTTCAGCCCTGGCACCTCCCCTCCTGCCTTGGTACCTCCTTCTCAGCTCTGACAATTTCCCCTCTAGCCCTAACATATCCTCCCCCAACCCTGACACCTGTCCCCCAGCCCTAACTCTTCCCCCAGCTGCAGCTGAAGCTGGATCTAGGAATTATTTCCAAATGCAACTGTTAGCTACCATGCTCCCTCTGGAGTCTCTGAGCCTGTATCTGGGGGACTCTATTCCAGGGAGGCTGCTGGCCCCATCCAGGACACAGGGGTCTGGAGGGATGAGGGAGCATGGGGACTTGGGAAGTCATGAGTGACAGGGATCAGATCCATGGGATAGGGCAGCTGAAGCCTTTTCTGGATGACTATGGGAGCTCTGGTGGCGTAGTGCCCAAGGCATTTGACTGCTAACCAGAAGGCTGGAGGTTCAAACCCACCAGCCTCTCCTCAGAAGGAAGATTGGGCAATCTACTTCCACAGTGATACCACCTCAGGAACCCAAGGAGGGGTTGCTATGAGTCAGATCTGACTCGACAGCAGTGAGTTTATATAGTCCCACAGTGGATGCCACAAAGGTAGTCTAGGAGGAGGTGAGAGGAGTGGGTAGGCAGAACAGAAGAAGCCAAAGTGTCTAGTGTGTATGTATGTGCATAAGGGCCTAGGTTGTGTGGATCAGGAATATGTGTGAGCTGTGTCTCTATAGCATGCATGTGTGTGTATGTATGGACAGGTGTGGACATCTCTGTATAGGCATCTTTGCATGTTTGTGTGGTCTCAGGGTGTCATCTGTTCATTTCATAGCATCCTTGGGGTTTTCTGCAGGGTTTGAAAGTTAGAGGAAAGGAAAAGATGAAGTCATGACACCACTTTGGCTTCAACCTTAGATTGAACCTTCCTGATGTTCCTGACGTGACCAACTCCTGAAGAGAGACATCAAGGCTTCTAAGTGGAAGCATGTGGCCCTCCCCAGACTTTGATGCCCCTACTGAGCTGCAGGCGACCAGCCCCAGAGGTGTGACTTCCATGGTAGCAGGACAGAGAGTTCAGGGTGAGACATCAGTCATGGAGTAGCCCAGGAAGGAAGAATGCTGGGGCAGAGAGCTGCTTCATAAACAGCACCAGGCAGGTGTGCACCTTGGTCTGTGCACCTTGAGATCCCTTACTGCTGTGGCCTCTGTCACAGGAGGGACTCACACTGCTCATTGTTCCCTAGAGCCAATCCTCCTCATGACTTCTCATTACCTGAAATGATCCTGACTGTGTCCTCTAGGGCCTTCCATGATCTAGCCCTCCATCTTTCTAACCTCTCCTCCTGTCAGTCTTTCCCTTCCCAGTACATTCCACCCTCTGCAGCCTCCTCTGCCCGCCTGAGGACCTATGCCATGCCCACTTCCTAGAGCCCCTTCTGCTGCTCTATATGGCTAACACATTCTCATTACCCAGGGCTCAATTTGTCATCTCCTGGAGGTCTTTTTGACCACTACTCAAGTCACCTTCCCAGTTTCTTTTCCCAGATCACTTTGTTTAGTTTTTTGCATAGCACTCTTCAGAAGCTTCTTGTTCTATTCTAGTGACTATTGCTTGTGTCTCCCAGCAAAAAGTGTGCACCCTGACAGCTGTCTTGTTCAACACCGTACCTCTATCACCCAGAACAGTGCCTGGTGGAGTGGTCTTTAACAGATGTTTGTTGAATGAATGGACAAGTAAATGGGTGAAAGCAGCCCTTCAGGCAGATGAACTTACCCAGGTCCTTGCCAAATCCAGACTGCTTGAAGCCCCCAAAAGGAGCAGCCACGTCAGTCTTGTTGTACGTGTTGATGAACACTGTGCCTGCCTGGAGCTTGTCGCTGATATACAGGGCCTTGTTGATGTCCCTAGTGAAGATGCCAGAGGCCAAGCCAAATTCTGTGGCATTGGCCCGTGACAGCACAGTGTCCACATCACTGCAGAGAATATCGAGGAAGAATTCCATGAGGGAAGCTCAGAGGCCCTAGCCCCTGGACCCAGGACACTAAGCCCCACACAGGAGCTGTCGTTCTTCTAGGGGGGCAGAAGGGCCAGCACTATCTTCCTCAAAGATGAGTTCCAGCCCACTCTTCCTCCCTGTCACCTAAGACTGGGCCCTAAGTCTGCAGGAAAAGTGGGTTGGAGTCAGAGGAAAAATCTGCCTGTGTTAAGGAAAATATGAAGAAAGAAATAGAGAAGAATTAAGAATGAAATTGAGGAGAGAGTGGTTATAGATTCACAAATGGACAGCAACGACCCTTAGAGATTACCCAGGGCCAGCACCTCACTTCCCTGACACAGAAATTTAGCTCAGGAGGGAAGTTTCACATCTGGTATAGAAAGGCACAGGAGTCGCGGCTGCTATGGGACTGAGCAGTAGTCAAGGGACCATTTCCAAGGGTATGCCATCATATCACACACACCAGAAGTGTGAATACTGTTCATTTAGTAGATGGCAGTAAAGTGTTGTATTCTGATAAAGTCAGCATCAGCATATTATGATAATTTCAATAATATTTTGACAGTTGGAAATGAAGTATATTGAGGATAAGGTATCATTTTATACTTTGCTCAAAAGTACAATATATACAAAGGGTAGCCTTAAAGAACAATAGCCTGAGGAGAACCTGGGAGGGAAACAGATATGGCCAGAGTCTTTGCTCCTTCTCCTGTGGACATTGGGGTCTGCATCCACTCCTTCTGAGGCAAGGGTGGCCTTGGTGGCATACTTGGCCCTTAGAGCAAGTGATGCTTTGAGATTTCTGAGGCTGGCTCATAGAAGCCTTGCAGCCCCTGCCTGGACTCTTGGCTCTATGGGGGATCCAGGTGCCATGTAAGCTATTCAGAAACTGCTGTGCTAGGGAGACACATGGAGAGGTTTTGAGGCTTCATGAAAGAGCTGTCCCAACTGAGACCCAGACACAGTGTGAAGGGAGACAGGTAATCCTGCAAACCCTGGCTATACTGAAGACCTAAATTAAATAAATAATTGTTGCTCTTTCAAGCTCAGGTGGTATAGTGCCTAAGGCATTTGACTGCTAACCAGAAGGCTGGTGGTTCAAACCCACCAGCCATTCCTCCGAAGGAAGGTTGGGAAATCTACTTCCGTAGTGATACTGCCTCGGAAACCCAAGGAGGGGTTGCTCTGAGTCAGATCTGACTCGAAGGCAGTGAGTATTTCAAGCACTAAATTTTGATGTGGTTTATTACACAGCAACCCAACCCATTGTGAGAAACATTGAGAGAGAAACACGGAGAAAGTGGCAAGGTAATAGGATGTGGGAAGGAAATTGACTATTGCTCGTGCTGGAAGGACTCTGAATCCCTCTGGGCCACCAGATGCTCTTCTTCATGGATGCACCAAAGACCTCAGTGGTTAACTATGAAGAGCCATCTGGTAGCCTAGGCTGCTTCCATACCCTCCACCCTCCCTCACTCTGAGTTCTCCTCTTGGCACAACCTCCTGACCACCTCCTACAGCTCATGATTTGACCCCAATAACATGTGGAGTTTCAACAGACTTAAGCAGGGTTCCTTACCCATCAGCAAACCGAGAGATGATCATGATGGGCCCAAAGGACTCCTCCTTGGCTATGAACATGTGGTCCTCCACATTAGTCAGCACGGTAGGCTCAAAGAAGAAGCCTGCAGGAGAGACAATGGTGTAGGCACAGTGGGTGTGGTCCTCCCCTGCTCAGCTTCCCTCTCACTGGGTGGCAACATGCTCACACTGCTGACATCATGTCTGTTGGGCTGTGACTTTCATCTGTGACTTTTATCTCATTTAATCCTCACAACTCTTTTACCTAAATGCTGTTGAGGAAAACATAGCTAAAGTTCACAGAGCTGGTACATGGTGGAGCTGAGATGCAAACCCAAGTCCAGTGCCAAAGATCATAACTATGAAGTGACCTGTGTTCTTTTTTTTTTTTAATTTTATTATGATTTGAGTGAAGATTTACAGGGTAAATTCACTTTTCATACAGCAGTTCACATATACTTTGTCTCATGTCATTGACCAAAATTTACA